TGCAAAATAAGCACCTTTTTGTCCTTTCTGTCCCGTTCCTGCATTTGAGCTATGTAAAATGACTGCTTACTGTATTTCAAGTCTGTGCAAAAACATAGGCATTTGATGTATTTATTCCTTAAGTGATTGCAGTGATAAACATCCTCAGATCTGTCCAGTTAGAATTATACAGATCAGTAAATACTGATGCTGTTGTTAACCGTGTTACGCATGTGTGTTCAAGAATGCCTGTCCTCAGTGAAATCTGTTGGTGTTCCAGTCAATAGAGGAATTTTTCTGTCTGACCCTTGTATGTGAATATTGGTAGACAGAGTTGCTGAGAAAAAGACCCTTGGCCCCAGAGTGCCATTGCTGCTGTAGCTACTAGACTCATTCCCTACGCAATCAGATCCTACAAAGAGAGGAGCCTTGGTTGTCGTCATCTGTTGCTGGCCAGATGCTTAGCCATCTTCAGGCCTGAGGGAGGAAATAGTAGCAAGAAGTAAGGCTGGTTCACTTAACTTAATTACCACTTAGTTCTTGAACACTCAGTCTGTCAAAAACACAGAACAAAGACTAAACTTTGACTCCAGGGAAACCATGTTACGGACTTAGGTCACAGAGGCAGGGAAGGCTGTGGTCTTCCATCTTGTCTGTATGACAGAATGTCAAGGGAGGCATCTAGGGAGCTGGACGAAAGTGGTTGAGGAGGGATGTGTAAAGGTGGTCATCTTGCACTTGGTGTTTTATTTTGTCACAAACAAGTTAGTCTTATGGTACACTGGCACTAGTCTTATGGTACACTATGGTACACTGTGCTTAATAGGGTGGACACCAGATTCTATGCTGTGGTCATTCCTTGTGGTTTCACTAAATGTAGTGAAGTTGATTGAGGAGTAAGTTGGTCCACGCTGTGTGCGTGCATTAATCCAGTGTTGATTTTTAAGGATAAACACTTTCTTGTGCGTGTGAAACACAAGCGTTAGAAACATTCTGTCTATGCTGAAATAAATGATGCGGCCCAAGAAAAGTCTGATGAGCATCTGTATTGCTCTTAATGTAACCAAAATAATTCATTTGTACTGGATAATAATTGCCATGCAGTAATCTTATGTGTGACAATTGAATGTCCGTCCCTTACATTTCAGGTGATGCTACAGTGACCATTACTCACAGATATACGCCGAAGGAGCAGCTCAAGATTCACACTCAACTAGCTGACATTGTAATAGTAGCTGCAGGTAATATTAATTGTCCTTAATATTCCAATGACAGCGTTTAAAACTTGAGAAGATCGGTGTCTGTGTTGGTGACCCCACCAGCTATTTTACTTGTCTCACCGAACAATTGGTGTTCCATGCTTGCTAAGGGTGTTGCAGTGAGTAGGTTTTCTTCTTGTAAGAAGAGCAAGCAATTTGGCTGTTTGTTCTTGCCCTTTACGTTTGCAGACTCATAAACTATTTCTCATCACATGTGACACCTTTCCCTTAGGGAGACTTCAGGGTGAACTCAAGATTGGGAACCACTCGGTGCATAGTTTATACAGGTATAATTATGTAAATTAAAACATTCTCTGTTCAATGCAAAAATCATGAGTCATTTAAATGTTGACAGGAGGGCTTCTCTAAATCAGCTGGAGGCTGCATTCATAAAACAATGACACGCTTCTTTTGCTGTTAGATTTAAGGGCAGTTCTGCTAAATTGAATGGTAATTTTAGAAACACATATGTTATGCCTCTCTTGATTGTTTGCACAATTACCATATAAAGAGGAAGAAGTGGTACTTACCCAAAGGAGGGGCTTTAAAAGATCGCTGTGTCGATGTTCTTAGAGGAACGTAGAGTGAAATACTTGCCGTTTGACTTTTCTATAACAAAGAAAAAAGTAAACTCTGTTCTTGAGCAAGCTCTGTTCTTAATTTGCTGTTACTATTAATAGAAATTTAAATCAACTTGTAAAAAAAACTTTGGAAAAATTTCTATGTCTCCTTGCAGCTCAGGACGTCCTCCTCCTCTCAGATGGCTTTGGAGGACCGCAGGCAAATTGTATCTTTGCTCTTCTGTCCTTTCTTCCTCCCTCTTCATCATCCTTACCACCAATTCTTGCTAACTTACTTTATAGATGAAGACAGATAGGTACATCTCTGAAGCTCATCGTTTGCTGTTTAAGTGAGATGTTGCTTTCTTTCAAGCCTTAAGTGCACTGTCTCTTTCTCATGCCAGGTCAGGAAGGAGAAACAGCTCAGTTCTCCCACAGTTGATTACTCGACTCTGGGTCTCGCCAGAAATCATACACTGCGAATAAAAAATAATAATGTGTTCGCTAACTGGGAATAAACTAGCAACTTCTATGAAAATTCACTGCTACTGATTTAATCATAGCTTCTGGCTTTGTGCTGAGCATAGTTTGATATTGGCTATGCTTGCAGTTAAAACTATTCAGTACCAGTTCAGCTGTGTGTGTTCTTGACATTTTTTCTTTGTGTTACCTGTAACAGAAGCATGATACGAGACTCATTACACAACATGAGATATACTTGGAATAATGAAAAAACCTAGGGCTAGATTGTGCAAAAAGTAGGCAGCCTTGCCCCACTGGGAGCTCGGGGGAGGGTTACACTTTGGGAGAGTGGAGTTCCTCCAGTTTCTCCTTGTTACGTGGGAATTGTGCACATTGTACCTTTGGGATAATGCTGGTCATTGCCAGGAAATGTGTGGGACCTGTTCAGTGAGGGTCACAAGGAAGGTAACTTCTACCCTACTGGGTAGAACAGCTGCTGTCATAGGCCACAATGTGACAAGTGCAAGTGGGAGAAAGCTGTGTGTGTGTGTCTGTGTGTATGTGTAAGAGAGAGGGTCCTGTTCTGCTCTTCCCATAAAATGCTTTTAGAAGAGCTGCCTGCAGCCTGGCCCCCAGTTTGGTGACTTGTTAAAATAAGCGTGTTCAGTCTGATGTGGTACTCTGTCTGAGGGGATTCTTTGTTAGCTTGTATTCAGGGCTCTCAAATGCTTCCCATCAGGCTGTTTGGTTTTACTTTTGAGTTTGAGAACGCTCATCTTCATACGTTGTCCCTCTCACTTGCCCCCAGCTTCTGCACCCCAGTTCCCAAGCTTTGTTGAGTGTTGTTATCTGTACAGTTTATTCCTTCCCCCCCTAATTGCCTCCCAACTCCTTGCATCACAAGTTTCAACAAGGCTGCTCCTGTCCAACCTAGCCTTCCCTAAATTCTGCTTCTTGGCTTCCAGCTGGACCTTCCTGAACTGTTTCGATGCCATGCAGTTTTTTGCATTTCTAGTCAAAGCATAACTTCCCTCTGAGCAATAAGCACACCCTGCACTTAGGATCCTACCGTGGCCTTGCCTTGTTGGTCCCAATCCCTGCCCACTCTCCTTGCCTATGCAGACATCCCGTGGGGGCTCCTCTGTCACTATCAGCCCAGGTCCATAGCAGAAAGGAAAGTGCAACTTTGCCTGTGGTGTTTGGGTAGCTACTGCAGTACTGCTGGAGTGGCGATGGAGGCAGTAGGTAGTCTTTGTCTAGTGAATTTGCTAGTGCTGTCACAGCTTTCCAGTCTGCCTTAGTTCAGAGAGAGGACTTGACTTCCTGCAAGGAGGGCAAGGAGAGGAAGGGCCGAGGGTCCCAAATGCCGGATGAAATTCTTCTGAGACTCCTTGCAGTGTCCCTGAGGGCGTGATCTGTGGCCCTCCTGTATGGGAACTGCAGATTTGCCAGACTATTCTATTAAGCCAGTGGCCGGTTAGTTTCCTCAGGAGTTTCCTATTTTACAGTCCTTGCACATAAGCTAGGATAATATATTTGTTCTTTTGAAGCATAGTTCAACTTTTTCTGCAGAAATTACTAATGGCAGATTTTCCCACATTCTACAATCAGTGCATTTTAGGAATAAGTGCTCTGACGCTTATCTCGTTCTACTTGGTATGTAAAGTAGGCTTAAGTAAATAGATCTGCTCATATGATTTGGGGGTTAGTTTATTTGTTGCTATTAAGTATTTGGCCTATTATCAAACCGTTTTACGAAGGGTGTAACTGTGTTAACTTCCGTTAATATGCTTCCATCCCTATCTCACACACATCATTTACCCCCATAAGACTAAAGCATTATCCAATTACCAGCCAGCTTGCAACTGATTGCATAAAAGTATGATGAAGTAGATGCAGCCAGATGTTATCAAATGGCATAGGAAGGAATTTGAGGTCGTGGCTTACTCGAGCGCAGTTTCCAGCTTGTGTCTTATGGGGGAGTGAGAAATGGAAAGCAAAGAGCATTCTTACATTGCCCATATCCAGATGATTAGCTGGCTGAAATCCAGCACTTTAAATGATGCCAAAGCCCTTGTACGCCAACACTTGTCTCAAAGAAAACCACAGAGCCTCAAAAACATATGGATTTGCCTTTTTTCAATTTTTTTTTTTTCCCCTCAACCTGAGAGAAATTTGCTCTGACAGGGAGGGAGGAGTTTAGGTTCCCCCGTTATCTGCCCTCTAATAGCATATCTTCACTCCTCTCGAGGCGCAGAGATAGAGGATCACTCAAGAAGCAGGGCAAAATAAGTGACGGCAAGTTCCAACTTTAAAGTCAAGTTAGAGGTTGCATAGTAGGAAAGAAGTTTAGGAGGTCATTTAAAGTGGATATACAGAAAAGATTGCTGTTGCATTTATATGTTGGTGCATATGTAAGCACCTTGTATTCTTGGATCTCCAATAGCATGTAGTGACTTTGATCTCAAATACTATTTTGCCTTAAAGTTTGAGGAGATGCTTCCTTTGTTCTGTGTCGGTCCAGGAATGAACTTTCAGATATCTGGTCACAAGTCATACTGCTGTTTGTAAAGCACTACTGATATGTCTATTTTAGATTATTTTGCTACTGTAATTAAAACTACTGTTTGCAAAGAGGGTTCCTACTGATCTCTTATTCTTGAGGAACAAGGATTTTCTGTGCCTCAAGTGGAGCATGCCATAAAGCCATTACCTCTCACTTCAGCACGTCTGGAAAGCTAGATTAGAATGATCTTCAAAAAGTAAATATGTGGCACCGTATGCAATTTGAATTTGTGGCAGTGATCTTAAGGAAGTGGAAGGCTTTTATGGTCCAAGCCTAGTCTCTAAGAAAACAGTGTTTTGCTATCACTTTCAGTAGGACTCAGGTCAGATTCTGCATACAGTGAAGCTGTCGTTTTTTGTACTTAAGTGTTGTTTTAATAGCTAAATCATTCTTCTGGTGTCTCTAGCCACACATATGCTTTACCTTTTTGATGGGTACCTGAAATGTGCTGATTGGAAACATAAGGCCGTTAACTCACATTCTTTATCTGAAGTGTGTGAAGTGTCTTTTTAGGTCCTGACCATTGAACATTGTGGCATGAATGTCAGGATGCTTTGAGCTTAAATAAGGGTTGAATGGAGCTCTTCTACAGGGAGATGAAGAAATCTTTTCTGTACCTAAAAGCTGAGGAGGCTTGTTGCAGTACTTTGTTTTAGCTGAGGTCTCTTAATAGCAAAAGAGTCGCACCCCAGGACGCTGTATAGATATAGACCACGGAAAGCTGGTGAAGGTGTGTAGTGCTAAGGCCAGGCCCTCTTTGGTAAGCTTAGTGTCATAGGCGTACCCCTTATCACTCTTAATATTTAATTAATAGCTGAATGTGTTTCTTCAACCGAAGACAGTCTCACAGCATGCTCTTCTATAGCAGAAATTAATGTAGAAGAGCTTCAGCGTTCTCAGATTCAGTCTCAGGAACTGTTCTCCACCCTGAGCAGATTTTGGTAAACATGCTTGCTAAGTGGTGATGTCTTGGTTATATGAAGAGTGGAAGAGACAAAGCAGAGCATCTCCTGCATGTCAGTGGCATTTGAATCTAGGAGGTCTTCCCAGCTCTTCTTCCCTGTGGACATCATACAAAAATAGGGCAAGAAGGATCTTTTGAAATTCTATCCAGTCCATCCTAGTGCACAGAAAAGTGGACTGTCTGACGTTTTAGTCCATTCTACTTTCTAAGATCTCCAGGGATAGAGTCCTTATTCTTGCCCCAGGCTATACCTGCTCCAGTGTTCCATCTGTCTGTATGGTTGAAACGTTCTGCAGAGTGCCTGTGCAGCAAGGAAAATTGAAATCTTATTGTTTTGCATCCTGTCAATCGAGGACATGGAAGATGAATGGTTCCTTTCCTCTTTCCAGCAGTTTTTTATGTCCTTGAGGACTGTCACAAGATTAAAAAAAAGAGCTGATTCTTTGCCTTTTTTTCATTATAGTGCTTGGATTGTTCCTGTTGGTCTTCTATAGCTGATGTATCTGTCCACATCTCTAAGTCTGCCACCTACAGAAAAAATGCAGGGATCCCATGTGAGATCTTAAAATATTGAAGAGATTAGGATTTCAGCGTGATTTGCGATAGCATAATTGTATCTACTTACGTTCAGTTGGTGTTCTAATCCCCAATTCATTTTATGAAAAATTACTGTCTAACTGATTTTTTGCTATCTTGCCCTTGTGCAAGGTACGTATTTATATGTAAACATTGTATCTTGCCTTCATTCCTATTGAATTTCATCTCTTTTTTTGATGTTTTTCTTCTTTTTTGTCAGTGTCACTTGAAATCTAAGCTCACCTGCTTGAAGTACTTTCCAGCTTTGACTTTGCCACATTTAATAAGACTTTTCTGTATTCCATCTCATTAGTGACATAAGTTAATACCTGGCTCTTGTGGAACCCCCTCAACACGCATTTTCATTTTGATAATAAACCATTGGTGCCTATTATCCAGGTACAATTATCCTACAGGTTTTACATCAAGTACGTTTTCTTGGCTTTCTTACGTGGAAAAAGCTTTTACCTAAAGGCCGGCCCTCTCTCTCCCGTGTACAAAACCTGGTATTTGCAAAAAAGGAGAACGGCTTGGCTTGACATTGTTTATTATGGGTAAATCTGAGTTAGCCTTTTTTTTCCTCATTAGCTTTCTGATGCTTATAAAGCGCTCCGTATTACTTCCAAGAAGTGAAAATAAGCTGGTAGCGTAGATGAGGCTGTCTCATCAGCATTTGTTTTGCAGTGGTGATATTTCATGTAGTTTGTGCCCATAGTTCAAGTAACAGCCTCAGTTGTCACACATCTAACAAGTGTACAAGAAATCGGAAAAGCCAAGAAGAGTAACAGAAATCCAATGCAGATATTGAAATAGAGAAGAGTTAAAAAATTATGTGGAAATAACATTGTACGTGACTTGCCTCAGCAGTTCTCAGTGCTTCTGGATTGCTGGAACACTGACAAGACTAACCATTTCTTGTGGATTACAACACATATTTATCACTCGGTTTTCTGTGGAAATGCTAAAAAGGTTAGCTAAAATGCTACTGCAAACCAGCAGCACGTCCTTTATCACGATTGTGTTTGACTATGGTTATGACTACAGGCCTGGCTGAAAATATTTACTCGTGTTAAATAATGTCAGCTTTTCTCTTGATGCTTGCAAACTGTGTAGAAGTGGAAAACTTATTTTCTACATATAGGAAAATTTCCCTTGAAAGAATCCTCTTTTCATGCATGCACACCAATCGCTATAATTTGGAACTGATGACCTAAGACTGTCTGGCCACACTGATCAAGTATGTCTTGATGGTTTCAGGTATCCCAAAGTTGATTACAACTGATATGGTTAAAGAAGGTGCAGCTGTGATTGATGTAGGCATCAACCACATCCATGATCCTCTTACAGGAAAGACCAAGTTAGTAGGGGATGTGGACTTTGAAGGTAAGTGAAACACCTCATGTATGAACCTGTTGAGTAAATGTACTCGGTTTGTCTCATTTGAAGTTGTTGGGTTGTTTGTTTGTTTTTTAATATTTATGTATCTGCTTTAAATAAATGATATTTTACTTAAGAGAGCAAGCGTTACTTTTAATTACACATCAGCTACCTTGAAAAGATGTAGATGGTGTCTGATAGAGAAGCTTCTCTATGTAATTGCTACCACCGCACTGCTATGTTTCCATACTCCATTGTGAATCAGTTTAGCGTCTCAAGAGTATGCTATAAAAATGATCTCTACTCTTTCACAAATGTAGAGTCTCCCACTGTTCATAGCAAGTATAATCATACCACAGTTTCTCATACATCATTTTAGGTTTTCGCTCTAACTTGTGTTTGAAACGTTAACTTCTGCTTCAGAAGTTTCCTTTATGCTAAGGTTTCATGTGGGTTGATCTTAAGCTCCTGAAAACCCTGGTCCAAGCAAGCCTGAGATAACAAGTCATGTTACATATTGATCTTTTTATGTTTAAAGTGCTGCAGAGCGAGTTCACGGTGTAACTTGATTAAATATCTCTGTTCTGGAGAAGCTGCAGACTGGAATAGCAGGATTGTTGCAATTGAAAATTAAAGCTTATTGGCAGAGTTGTGTGTGGGAAGCTTAGACAGCATTTACCTGCATTATTAATGGTTCTCAACAGTTCCTTATTTTGATAAGTATGAAAACTGCCCACACTTTTTTTTTTTTATGGTTATTAAAATCTTGGCTGGCATACTGTCTCAAAGCTTGATTATATTCCAAATGTTTCTAGCCCACTGCATATACATGAAATTACATCACTTAATTCCTGCTTATTTTACTCATACATGATACCTGTCTAAGTCAGTGAAATTACCTGCACGAGTGTAGTTGAGTGATTGTCCCAGCATGTCTTTGGAAATGAATAACTGCAGGTTTAAAGTAGACCTCCAGTAGAAAAATATTTCTAAAATACAGGAAGAATTTCTGCTGTTGTCCTGCTTGTACAATCACAAGTATCAGGTGTGTACGCTATTCAGTTCTGAACTAAAATGAAATAGAAGGAATCTTCAGGATTTTTTTGTTCATTTTAGTAGATGTGAAAAACAAAATGTAACATTCGGGAGCTTGGTTGTGGGGTGCATGTGGTTTTTTTTGTGGGTGGTGCGTGTGTTCTATTTTTTGGATGTTGTTGGTTTTTTTTTTTTTTTAATGTATGGCCTTCTGAATGTAATGTAGGTCTAAATTCAATGGCCAGGCCATGATTCAGAGTTTCAGCAATGCACTGAATGTGTCTCGTCATGTCTGCTGTGGGTTGTTCTCAGAATTTGACCTGGGGGGAGGGAAGATCCAAAAAAGAGGGAGGAACTTCAACTTGGATTATGCCTCTACAGTTCTATGTAGCGTTTTACTGTGCGTTGCCAAAGGGAAATTGTTGTTAGTTCATTAGTATCGGTGGAAGTTTCACTAAATCACTAGCAACAAAATTCCAATGTGTTACAGTTCTGAACACCAAAAAGTAAATCACCCTTGCCAATTACTTGACAAAGCAGTTATGAAAGGGAACCAGCTGGTACATTTGTGTACTAAATCATTATACCCTTTTGCGCCTTGTCATCATTGGACTAGGTTCATATTTAAGTCCAAGCGATGATTATTTTTGCAGGTTGAGGCCCGATATATAAATGGATGGCACGACACAGAACACCTGTTTAACACAATGCAGCCTTCCAATATCTGTTTTCCCGTAACTCCCTCCTATATGTAGAAAAATGTGTCGGGGGTGGTGGTGGGGAACAGGTTTAAATGAGCGGTCATAGGTTAGACTTATTTATGAGAAATAGATTAGTGTGGGTAACTTCACCAGGTGATCTGACTGAAAATCTCCCATGGTAGAAATACACTTTATTAGATGGGTAGCAACTGTTTTCGTTCAGTTATCATATCCTAGCAATACTTGAATATTGTTCTCTAGTCTCTAGGGGTGGATTTGAAACTGAAATACATTTTTTATATGTTAAAACAAGAGTTTTAATAGCATCTTTTTTTGTTAATGTTGTCCATTCTTAAAATCAAGGTAAGGTTTTATTGCTTCAGCAGTTACCCGAGCTTAATTCCTACCACAGGCCAAGGGAATGTGATAGCTCTCCAAAATAAGTTTTGAAATCATGAAGTCAGTATTCTAAAATCTGCATTTGTTTGAATCATGTCCACTGCTGCTCTAGGCAACTGAGCTGCATACTGTCAGTCACAGCCGGAGAGCTTTCCCTTGATAGTGCGTGCCACACTGGGCTGGGGAGAGAGCCCTGGCATATGCTGGTCTGTATGTGCATGCACACTCAAGGCAAGCAGTACGCTTCAGCTATACTTTAAACTCCGCTGCGTGAGAAGGAGGATCAAGATTGCTCAGTTCACTTAATTAGGCTGTAACAAACACACTCGTGCACGTCACTCTTTTATAGTGGCTGAATTATTTGGCTTGTTAGTCATGGCATCCATGCACCTCTGTGCTTGTCAGGGTTAACCATTCATTCCAGGCAAAAATCCCATGCTGGACAGTGAAGTGCCTTTAAATACCATATTTGCCATTTTCCTTATGTCCTCCTTATTTTTCCACTTTAAACTATTTCCACTTTTTTTTTTTTTTTAAAAAGGGTATTTGTTGAGACTACATACATGTGGACTTCCAAGATACCTAAAAGTACAAGACAAAAAACATTGTGCATGTGAAAGTCAATTGTGAAGCACTGAGGTATCAGGTCTGATGCTGCTAGGATGCCTCAGACTGAATTTGCATCTCCTCATAAATAACCAGCACAGCATGTTGAGTGTACCCCTATTTATGTTGGGAATTTGCCGAAATGCGTGGTCCAGAGAAGAGTCCTATAACTTCTGGGAGCCGCAACAAGTAGGATGAAGTGGCAGGGAGGAGAAGTGGTGTCATCCTTAGACTACTGCCAGCAAAAATTTGTTAAGTTACTTTCAGGCAACAAGTTTCAGTCACAGAAAGAAAGGCCATGTTTCTACAAACAGGATAATGCGTTGTGTGGGTGTACTTGGCCCTGTTTTATAGGATGTTTGTTGCCACAGCAATAAAGCTAAGGGGGGAGGAGAGCTAAACAGACCGGGAGAGTGAAATAAAGCAGTAAGTTACACAGAGCGTTTAACCTTAACAGCTTTATTAGGTGGAACACTGTTTCCAGGAGTGACTGGTAGAGCAGGGCGGTAATGTACCACACCGATGTAGTAGCTGACCTTTGTTACGGAGGTGCCTCTGTGGAGAGCTGCTTGCCTCTGCACTGCCTCTGCCGTGGTACCTGCCCAGTGGTTGTGGTATATACCTGCAAGGTGGCAGTGGCCATTTTCCAGGAGCTCTGGATTCACAGCTCCTTCTTGAGCTGTGCACCAAGAACCATCTCAAAGGTTTTCTGCAGTCTGATGGCAAAGTACACTGGCATCACCCATAAGCGATCCTACTAGTAGTTGATCAGGTTTAGAAGACTCGTAGAGATATGGTGACAGAGGCTTGTAATGCAGTGAGGAAGAATCTTCAGTGCTTTAACTCAAATTGCTACTGCAATTTTGACAGCTGATGAGGAACTTTCCCTAGGTGGTGGTGTTTGTTGCTGAATTGTGCCGTGCTCGTTATGGGATCCACATACCTTTCAGGCACAGGACAAAAATGTTGTCAGAAATAAGGTTCACTAATATTAAATGAAATTGAACTAGAAAGGCCCATAAAATTACGGTGTACAGAAATGTAGTGTGGTTTCTTTTAAAGAGAAAGAGAGCTTTTGCTACCTAGACTTCTATGAATTTGATTCTTCTCATCTCCGACAAAGCAGATAGTAAAGCTGGTTTTCCAGGTTTAAGCCTTTTATTACATACCTATATAGAAAAAAAAAAAAGTCTTGAAATTTCATACCTGATGTAGTTACAGTATTAATGGAGTGTTTTATAAATGAGAATTCTTTGCCTTGTTGGTATTTGGGGCAACCTAGATAGTATAAAAGAGAGAGACTCTAGAGAACGATGCTACCAGGAGCAGAGAGAGGTTCCCAGTAATGAACAGCGGAAGAGGATATCTTGGCAAAATGACCGGTGTGGTCAAGGGTGATGGGCATGTATTAGGGATCTCCTTTTAATGAGGGATGATTGTGCATAACGAATGCAGGGAAACCAGGGAATTTGTGTATTGGATACTTTTAAGGAGAGAATGGACAAGAACTGCATATCACTACTGGACAGATCACCTCTACCAAAATGAATGTATTGATTTAATGAAAAACAAGGAAAATATTCTGTCCTGAACAGCTACAGGACTGACTACTGCAAAGGAATTTGGTAATTGTACAAGTTCCTTCAAGCATGTGCAGATGTACAATTGAAGAGAGAGACCGTGAATATTTTCTGAGCCAGCTTCTTAGTGGAGATGGTGCTGGTGCTGTACAGTTGCACCTTCTCTGCAGTCTGCAGGGCATAGAAATATTTAATCCAAGCTTTGTAACAACAGTTGCTTCCAAGGGCTGTTTGCTGCTGCCTTGCTTTGGTTGTGTTATCTTTCCAGGCTGTAGGTTTCTTTATAGGTCTTTGAATCCTTTCCAAACTATTTCTCTGTGCAGCTTATCCCGGCAGTGGTCATGAAAATACAATGATGATGTTTCAGCTGCTTTCACTATTGCTGCATATTGTTGCTAAGCAAAAGTCAGAGGAAGCATTGCTTATTGTTATGCTCTGCTAACAAAAGAAGTTTTTTTGTTTTGCAAGTTCAGAAAGCTTTTTATTCATTCTGCATATTTTGAAATCCTAGCATGCTTCACTTTATTCTCGTGTAGACCACCTATTGCAACGGCTGGATGTTTGAGCCAAGGAGAGTTGTAAAAGAACAGTTAGCTAGATAGGAGGAATAGCTAGCTAAATAGGAACGCTGATTTTAGGTTGCAGCTGTCAGAACGCTAGACTGACTAATAGCGAACTGGTGGCAGCCAGGTCCTGGATTGAAAAGTCTAGGTACCTCTCCACAGAAGAGTGCTTTGTGCAGGTGTTTAAGGAAGTAGTCTTTGGTATCCTGAATTTCTGCTGCCTCTGCTTATTGTCCAAAAGCTATAGCACTGTCCCATTCACCTGTCTGTGCTAATTAGCTGAATGCAAAAGTAGCTGTTCTGCATAGCTTTCTGCTTCATTTTTGTTCCTGAGGTGTTTCCGTTGTCTGGTTTCTAGAGGTAGAAGCCGAGGGAAGCTTTTTTGCTTCCTGTTGGAGGAAAGTGCTGTAAGGATTAGAGTACTGGCCCATATTTCCTTGTGTTTCATTTACAGCGCTTTTAAAATTACCTCAGTAAGAGCAAGAGGGGTAACAGTATCAAAAAGAAGGAACTGGGAGAAATTAGGGAGGTGTTTGCTGGTATGTGCATGCCGCAGGGCATAGTGAGGAAAAACCCCAGCATGTGTAGAGCAGAGCAGCCCAGCATGGGATTATCTGCTGGGACTGCTGAGCATATGATTAGCACTTATGCAGCGCTGCATGGATGCAGTGATTCCAAAGTAGCTTTACAGGGACTAATAAAGCTGTGTGGAAACAGTGCTTAGGCAGGAATTTTTCTGCATCGGTTAATGCAGATACACAAGACCGAGAACTAACTTCAGGTTGAGACTTGCCCTTAGTGTGATTAACCCTATTAGATGTCTGATGTCCTTAGCTTTAAAGGAACCTAGGAATGAAGGCTGTTCGCAAAGCAGCGGATCCTGTTTCTCAAGGAAATAATCTACATTTCATTTCTTCTGAAGAATCAAAGGAAGATTTTTAAGGTTCTAAAGATGCTGCAAAAAAGCAGCTCCTCCCCTGTAGGCACCTAATTTGTGTACTAACGTTTTCTGGATAGCTAGAAAAATGGCTGGGACAGCTATGTGCGTGTCCAGAAACTTGAGTTAAAGCTAAGGGCAAAGAAGCATTAGCAAGACCCTCTGGAGGAATTGATAGTGCAACACCTCATTTGCCATCATGAAATCTGTTACGTTTGAGTGTGATCTTAGGACTGTGCTTGGCCTATTACACTGCACGAAGAAAGGAAAATCTGTTTTTTTTTGCAGGCCAGATCATTCCCCCCCGCCTTTGCTTACTGGCATTCATTTTGGAGAGTTGCGTTCACCATATCCATATTTACTATTTTAGATGGAGATGCATCAGATGGTGTTTCCCCTACTTAGGTGCCCGTTGTTCATTTAAAAGTCTGGTCCCTAGATGACCTTTTGTGAATAAACTATCCAGGTGGTTGTATGCTAACTGATATAAAACATGGATTCCACCGCGCTGACTGACCCACGGTGATTTCCGTCATGATAGAGTATGGGTGGAGAAGTTTCCCAACAACTTGTGGAAACAGTATGCTGCATGTTTACTTCTGAGCACAGTTACTGGTAGTAGAGGCAATGAATGTTGTACATAATATTCGTTAGAAGGCTTTCTTTAAATAAGGCATGGTCCAGTTGTGGATTGCACCTCTTTTTAAGTAAGATAAGAGTAGTCTGAATAAGATCAGAGAAGCATGCAATATTGCCATGGAAACAAACTTACTTTAATTTAAAATGCCTAAAATGTTTTAGTATGTTAATTATTATGGTTTTAACTTCAGATGTGGGTATATTTCAATAATTAAGACATTCACCTGGAAACTTGTAGTAACTATAATAATAACCGTAAACACCCATCTCAAATGGTAGGTAGTTCAAAATAATATAACTCATAAGAAGACAAATTATTTGCGTTTGAGAATATTAAGAATAACTGCCATGTGAAATGTTAATTCATTGTTAGCATTTAAATGTAAAAAAACCGCATGGCGATTTGTTTACCTTTCCAAATGTTTTAACAGCATATCTGGTGATACCAGTCAATTGGGTACTTAAAAACCCTCCCAGCTGTAATTACCAGCCCTCTTCAATGAGACTTAATCTTCTGCTGCTCAGTTCAGTAAGATACTTACTGTTAACTTCTGTGAATGCAGTTGCTAGGCCCCTTGGGAGTTTGGAGACGGCTTGTATTCCATTAATAACCTCTAGAATCTAATAATTGTTTTTGTCTAATAAAACGAAATCCAATTTTTCAAGTTCTCTTTTAATAGTTCTTTTTGTAAAACTAATTTATTCTCAACAGTAGAGCGCTACATCCATTCAAGATGAATACACTTAAAGCAACGACGAGAATCTTGTTTGTTCCAAAAATCAAGCTGCCTAATGTTCCAGCCATTGATAGCTTCTCACGGTCGGGTATAGGTTCAACTTTGTAGTTATTTCAGTGGAAAAATATGTGCTTGTGTCAGTTAAGCTTGCTCAGTTTTTTCCACTGTGTCTGTGTGCCCTTTTAAAAATGATATTTTGAAAATAGTAATGCGCAATGTAGGGTTCAGTTACATTGCAAATTTGCACCTGCCTCCCCCACTTCATTTCATACACTTTGTGGCAATAAGTGGGGCGAGTTTCTGGGAAATTATTTCCAAGCAACCAAAAAACCTCTCACAGTGGCACTCTAGAAGAAACTCTGTAGTAACCTGGTTGGTAATGTGCCATTCAGAATAACCTTTATTAGCCAATAACTGCTCATTACATTTTGTCATGTGATAAATTCCCAGCCAGTTACATGTAGCTCTTTTACAGTTAACCTGAAATTCCAGTCGATTACATTTTGCATAATAGATATGAATGTGAAATCAGGATTTATTGCTACATTATATTAATTCCTAGTACAAAGAAGATAATTTGACAGGTGTGACCTTAAATGATTTTCTCTCTCTCTCTTTTTTTTTTTTTCTCTTTTTGCTTTTTTTTCTCCCCTACCCCACTCCCAACATGCCCTACATATTGATCTCTTAGTACTTTACGTGAGTATAAGTATACCCTTTGGATAGTCTGACATAGTTCATGTTTGGGGCTAAATTACTTCTTAAAAGTTTTCCTTGATTTGACCTTTCAGTAAGGTCTGTGCCTCCAGATCCAAATTCAGCATAGGCGTCCTAGTAACAAAGGTAAACTCTTGCAGTCAAAAGAAACTTTAAGTATTAAGGCCAGAAAAGATTTCTCTTAACTGGGGGCAAAGTTTCACTGTGGGCAAAGATGCAGTTGATATATCTCAGGGTAAAGGTTGTGTTCAAACCTGCATGGCTCAGAGGGCTTCCAGTGACAGGGTTTCCCTCTATGGTCTCGAGAGGGAAGGCCCCCAAACAGATTTGGAAGTGTAACTTCTTTTATTTGAAACTAAGGTTCTAGAAGGAAAAGATGCTGACTGAGTGAGATCTAGCCAGGCAAATAGACACAGCATTTTCTGAGGGAGCTGAATATTTATTACTGAAGGTCAAAATCAGAATTTTTCACTAGAATCTGATTTTCCTCAGGCAAAACTTTTGTTTTCTACTTCGTAGTCTGGACAAAGAGCAAAACACAAGTTAGCAAGGGAACTGTGCTTTTTCCCGCTACAGTTCTCCGCCTGCTTAATATCTTTGTTAGAGGCTGCAAGCCAGAGGGAGGAAAAGAGGCTGAAGAGGTGACTTATCTGTTGCTGATGCTGTGCGCCTAGTTTTGATAGTTACAGCAGTAGTTACCTGCTCTGAATACTGCTCTTCAGGAATACACACAGCTTTGGGGTTTGTCTTTTTACTTTCTGAATGAGATCCCCAGCTTTCATAGCTCTCCTGGATACCATAGGTGTGGTAGCCCAGTTGGCATATAGCGATGCAAGTCTGTATTGCCCCCTTACGACAGGCCTGCCTGTGTGTCGCTCAAGCATTCCTACAACCATCTAATTACCCCGATCAAGAAGTTGAAAATTCCCCTCACCAAAATAGTTCAGTGAATTAACTTTTGATCTGGCTGACCACAGGCTGTGTGAGCATTTGTGCTCCCATGAGGAAAGGATAGCTTTCTGCAAGTGGATCAGACTGTGAAACCATGCCCTGGAACTAAGCCACTGATGATAACATTCAAATGCGGAACACTACCTTGCAGCCCTGGTCCTGATTGTATCCTGAAACTGCTGTGGCTGCGATGCACTTTTTCTGTGTTCTTCAGCACTTTCCAACTCATAGTCCTTTATGCTTGTGGACAATTAGGCATACAGGGACAGCGGAAGGAGAAAAAAGTTTTTTGGAAATGTTCTCAGTCAATACCTTTTTCTCTTTTCTCTTAGAAGTGAAGAAGAAAGCTGGCTTTATCACTCCGGTGCCAGGAGGGGTAGGACCTATGACTGTTGCAATGCTTCTGAAGAACACACTCATAGTTGCTAAAAAACTCATTTACTAGAGCAAGCTGGCTACCTTGGAAGAAGAAACCAAGTTGTTCTATTTATTGATACACGAAACTTATTTTTTACTACAAAGATATTTATTTCTACATGGTATTTATTTTTTCATGTAAATATATTGAACCTGATGGTTTACAAAATGTTGAAATACTTTGTGTTACCTCCTATTGACTTATTGTGAGGAAAAATGATTTGGAGAATGCAGCCTTTGCAGATATGTTATTGTTGGTCAAGTATGTGTGTGAAAATGAAGAACAATGCATGATTTACAGATATACGTGTGTATCTGGGATGGGTGCAATATACAAAATTGCTTAAGCTCTTGGGACCCTCAGTGTCGATCAAACTGTGTGAAATCTAGGTTTCAACATGCTAAGTTACTTTTGAAAATATGCTTTAGGTTCCGCAGTCATTAAGCCATCTCAGGTATTATGTGAAAATTTGTATCCCTTGGAAGACGCTTACAGACTCAAGATTTCTGCCGTTAAGGAGTGAAAAACTAGAATTGGTGTTTCAACTGCAAGGCGGTAATATTGACATGAAGACAGATGCTGGGTATGCATTTCAAAACTGTCATGTAAGCTTGAACATCATGGGCAAAATTCTGACCTTAAGTACATACAAAAAGGTAGGCGTGAATAAGGGGCTAGAACTGAGGCTGGAATTGGTCTTTCAGTATCCAGATTGATGATTGACAAAATGTTAGTGTATGCTGCTGTTACCCACCAAAAAAAGCTGTGAATAGATAACTGAGCAGGATCATTAGAATGTATTTAAAACTACTGTGGAAGCATATTTATATATAACAAAAAAAAAAAAAAGCAGGAGTTGATCCAGGATGAAATGTTTGTGCTGGAGTTTTAAGTCACATACTGTCTTTTATCTTCTGTGACTGCATTAAGGGTTCTTAGTTCCTGTTGTAAGGCTGGGTCCTGTGACTGCTTGGCCTCAATATTTTGCTGCTTACAAAGGACTGATTACAAAATTTGCTGTTTACAGAGGACTGTGTGGGGGTAAGAAGATGCCTGCTCTGAAAAGAAAATAGAAACTGGGAAAATAAGTGGGAGAGGGATGATCATCTTTCTCCTCCCCTCCCTCCCCCCCACCCCCCCAAAGCATTTAGTTCCAAAGGTGGATCTAAGATAGTCTAATACAATATAAAAGTTGGAGTGGAGTTACTGGCAAAAAGCCAATTTGACAAAGTGTGTTCACTATTAACATGAAGAGCCTATGCCACTTCCCACTAAAGTTAGCGGGAGTCAGTTTGGGCTGTTACCTTCACATTTTTATTTCAGTTGGGATAATTTCAGTTTACTTTAATCAGAAGCCTTTGTTGTTTGCCAGTAGATTATAGATTGTCTGAAAGAAAAAAAAGAAAGTGGTTAAATACTTCTCCCTTTGAACAAACAAATGTGCTTGCTACAATAAAAAAGATGGAGCATTGCTTCTGTTCTGATTATTCTTCTGATGATCTTTTTTAGAGTTTTTGCTTACTACAGATTTTGCAAAAGAGATTGAGAAATTAATTTTAATCTACAATCCTGTAGATGCTTGCTTATCTTTTGAAATTTAAGGAGTGGTATAAATGTTAGCAGGATCAAAGCATATGAAGATAAGACACTAAATGGTCAATCTATCGGTGGCTAAGGAGGAATAAAACTTGATCACTGTTATGCTCATCTTATTGTGAGAAATGTGTTAATACAGGTTTGTGTGTGTGTGTGTTTTCTTTTTTTTTTTTAATAACTCTGTTAGGAGTTGAGGGATGCAGGTCTTCTGATAGTCATTCTTTACCTTTTTTTTTTTTTTTTTGACATTACTGTCCTAGATCCATGCTCATTTTGCTTGTTTTAACTAAAATATTCTTTGTATTTTTGGCAGAATAACAACTTCTGCCATTTTGCTTGTGTCACATGAATTAGTCTCTGTATTCTACAAAGTGCTTATTGTGCATCTTCAGCTCTTTTTCTCTTTTCACCTGCCTTGGGTGAACTGGCGTTGTGCAAAGGTAGTGAGATCAAGGTTTCACTCCACTGCACGCTGTGTTCAGAGCTGTTGGACGCTTCTGTGTGAATGTGCTCTTCGTTGTGGCATCTGGAGGGAACAGCCTGTCACCAGCCTGAAAAGCATGCTCATGTGCTGGAGCCTGGTGAGCTCTGATCCAGGCGTGAAGGCCCCATGGCAGATGGTGGCACAGCCTCATCCACTGAACCCTTCTCACAGGCATACCGCACCCAGCTCTATTGCCTAATACTGAAGCCACCTCTTGGATTCAAGTAGGATTAAGTTCCCATTGTGTGCTTATGAGTGTTGAAAGCAGGGCTCATGTGATTTACCCCCTGCTTGGGACTGATAGCAGAGGTTATCCAGGTAGGCAAGAACATTGCTGTCGATGTGGGGAATACACAAGCTGCGCTCTATCAGGGTGCAGGCATGCTGTAATTCAGGCTATCTAAGGAAGGGAAAAGCCTCCTGGAATGCAGTCCGTGAGCAGGAGAACACATAATTAAAATGTGCATAACTAGCTTGTGTTTTTTCCTGAACTTGTGAAGTGGTTAGACTCAGTCCCACGGATCACTGAGGAGAATACAGTCTACAGGGATAAACTGAGCTAACCAGAGTTTTTAGAGCATCTATCAGATTTGGCTTAAAAAAATAAATGCATTGTGAAATGTTTTTGCTGCCTGGAGCTCAAGTTGAAAAATAAAAGTTATTGCTGGGGTGAAGTTACAAACTTTGCTTGGGTGAGAGCTGGAAACGTTGGGATTGTTCCTATGTTTATATGATACTGAACTGAGCCTTTTTGAATATCTACTCTAGTTAATGTCTGGCTATCTCACTACCCGTTGGAGGGCCCATTTCTCTTGTTCCAAGTTGCCTGTGACCAAGAAAGTTGGACTGAATTTGGGGCTGTGGAGGGTGGACTATTATAAAAAATGTATGATATATGTCAATTTTATCTTACAGCTGTGAAGAAATTATATATGAAGTTTTTTTGTTGTTTTTTTTTAGTTATGCATACCAACTTCCTTTAAAAAGTAGGGATGAAGTCTGATATCAGTGTAGTGACAGCAATAACAAAGGGATCCCTTAACATAGAGGGCAGCAGTTTTCTTGCTCCTCCTTTCCTTCAATGCTTTTCAGCCAGCATTCCCTCTTGGTGTTCTCTCGGCGCCTGTGCTTTGCCAGCTCTCAGCTTCTGCCCTGCACAACCACACGCAGCTCCAGCCAGCAATCCCAGCCCTTGCACCGGGTTGGTAGCCTGCCTTGCTTCAGATATTGTGTGCACAAAAGCTGTGAATGAAAAGTGGATAGTATGCCCCTTAGGCTCTCCAGAGCCTGTGATCAAAGGCCTCTTGCCGGCATCCGCTGATGGAGAGCATCACCCGTTATCTTAGTGTCTGATCACTTCCTAATTTTTGCTCTAGCTGTTTTCGCAGTTCTTCTGGATGACAGGGAACTGAAGTACAGGGAGGACCAAGGAAGGAACCTGAGCCAAAAAAGGGCTAACCCTTGGACCTTCAGCTCCACAGTAGCATCCTGAATGCTAATAGTAGTTCTAGAAGTAATGTAGAACCTACATTACTCAGGGAAAGAAAGATCACATTCATTGCAATCCATCATTTTCGGTTTTCTATTTTGCTGTGTTTTGTGGATCTGCTCTGGCAGATTCCAGGTCTGTCTTTAAACTATATCTTTGCATGCACGATTATGCCCACAGGTAATAGGAAACTCGAGTTTCAAAAGAAAAGCTGATCCTGTTGCTAGATAACAGCAGTATCCTAAATAAATGTGTGGTTGCCTCGAGGCTTGAGGTTGTTGCCAGATGCACCTTTTTTTGATTGGTGAGAACAGCAGATGACGCTTCATGGTATATAAATGCAAGAGAAAACACAGGAGTACAGATCAGCAGAGCAAACCAGCCATCCGGAAAGAAGAGCTGAGAAGGTGTTAAAGCAGCTGCTTGCAATGGCATTTGGAATGCTAATCTATATTTTGCTGAAAGGTAGGTTTGGAGGAGGTTGTTCCATGTCGTAGAATACAAGGCTTTGTTGAACAATAGTTTACTCTTTCTGAACTAAGCGATGGGGGGGGGGGG